TGTTACTTTCAATTAAAAAAAGCTGGAAGACACTAGAGTGTTTTATTCTAACTCAGTTTTTTGTAATTTTTATCTTATTTCGTATTTATCTCCGTTTATGGACGGTCTTAACTTTCTTTATTAAATATTTCTATAGTTTCAGTTCGGCTTCTATGAAATGGGCGTCAACACATTTGAACAGTATAATTTTATAATTTTCAATCTCTAAGTCTTCATTTACTGTATTTAATTTACAAATGAATGAAATGATGAGAAATTTAACAGTTAATACATTTTGAGAAATTACTTCAAATTGGTCAAAATTTCTATAAAATGTGAGATGTCAATTTTTCGACTTCTTTATTAAACATACATTATGCAAGAGCTAAATTTGCCAATTGCAGGTCTCTCTTAGGCCTGAAATGAAATGATTAATTAGACATTAATTAACTCAGCCAGACCATAATCAACTCTCGATATCATCGCTAGCCTGCGATATTTACTGGATTAGAATTCGATCTGCTGCTCAACACTTATTGATGATTAAATCAAAAAATGGATAATGGAGACTATGTTTACTATCGTACCGACTTTAGTAATGATGGTTGAGGCTAGGCCTAATATTCAATCGCTAAATTCTCCGTTCAGAGTCGATGAATTTGACTGAATTTTTTTAGCAAATTCCCTTTAAATTATTATAGTGAGAACTGTCAGCTCTTTATCGAATCTCCCATAATGTATCTTTAATCAATTTTTTTAACAAATAAAATAGAAACAATGTTGCAATATATTTTGAATGAGGATTTTCCAAATAGATGTGTATTTTAAATCAAAGTTTTCAAAAATCCTAATATAAATTCCAACTCAAAAGAGAATCCATTTTTTTGGTGGGGTTTGTTTTGACCATATTTGAAGTAAAAATCAAAATTTACAATAGTATTCAGACGAATAAAACAGCTTAAAAAATTAAGAAGCACTGTCACAAAAGGGTCATGACCCCTAATTTGAGCATTGTAACAGTGGCTATCTTGTCTACAGATTTCATAGCAAACTATACGAAAAAATAAAAACAAAGCACCATTCAAGCCAAAAATTTCTAACAATTAAAATCAAAATTCATGGATAAAGACATCAAAATATGTATAATTTTTGTCAAATATTCATTAAAAAACTTTACCATAACTATTCATAAATTCATTTTTTTTAAACAAATTTTTCTGTGTTTTTTGTTAACAAATGACAATGACTGTGTTCACACACAAAGTAAAAACAAGGGTCCTGTTTTTTTTAATTCTTTGATATCGGTAAAATATATGAAATAACACAAGGTTTTGAAAACGCAAGTAAACTATACACATACATAAGAAAAAAGTTTTTTTTTAAAAAAAAAAAAACTGTCACCGGTTCACGGAAAAGTGAGTTACAGTAAGTTAGAATGAGACAAATAACAAGCCTGTTTTATCTCAATTGTGAACTTTTCAATTTAAACTGTACAAATTTGAAAAATTGAGATGTTTATATATTGCAAAGGATCTGTTAAATTGGTTTTGCGATGAATAAAATTTGGATATGCACCAATGAAATTTCCTAATTATTTTGTGAATATCACAATAAAAATACGAAAATTTTAAATCGATTTAAATTTAAAGGCTTCTATAGACAGGTTTACATGGAAGAATTAAGACATTTTATGGTTCAAATGTATCATTCAGAATTGTTTCAGACTACAGTTTTCAAAAGTTCACCACTGAGAAAATATTCTTTCAGGCCCTTGTGTTTAATAAACTGCCAAGACATCCCTGATCATCCACCAGATAACAGTTCAGCAACATCATTCAGCAGATATAGCTTCCAGAATTGCAGTTATCTGACAATAATTGCTTTATGATAAGCTACTAAGAGGGGAAATAAACCTGAAGGATGCCTGTGCGGTACAATAAACCCATGGAGCTGTTTGTCTTTTATAATTAAAAAAAAAAACAGACTTGAAAGATTTCAATTGCGAATGTTTAAATGTTAATACGTAAGTATGTATATAATCTATTTAACACTGGGGATACTAACATACGCTAACCAACGAGGAATACACATCCATAATAATACATTTAGCACTGTCACGCCATCTATGAAGAAGTTTTTTTTCCCCGACTAATAACTACAGCGGGCATGAATTACACGTATAAAAATATTTATAAGCAAATGAAGAAATTACAGTTGACAGAGAGATCTCGTACTTCTCTGGGATAACAGATTAGGGAGGATGGTTATCGCACCCAGGTGAGTCTCCATGACAACCAAATCCATCCAACGAAAATGTTACATCCCCTTTCTGTCACACCAGACAAATAATGGTACATAATATCCAACAGAGAAATCCATTCATATAAATGTTCAAACATCACAAACTTATGGTGAAATCATATTAGAATGCAAACAAACAAACAAAAATTAAAAATATCAATTCAAAGATGTAATAATTAAATTAAATTGAATTGAATTGAGTTTTAAGATGGCACCTGATGAGTAGAAAAGATAATTAGTGAAATATTTAGTTAATTAGTTAATAATAATTAGTTGTATTGTTAATTAGATAATAATCAGGCTGATCAAATAATTGCCCATTCACTCCAGTCTACGTTTATCGAAACAGCTTTTAAGCTCGTCAAAATACTATGCAATAAATATTCTGTATTGCACGCAAGATCTAGTACATGTTTCCTTGTGTTTAGACTGTTAGGCTAAGACAGTATTAAAGGGCCATAACTCTCAGCACTTTGCTAGGCTCAACAGTAATTCAATTTAAATAATTCAAGATATTTCAAATAGTAAATATAATAATATATGTAAATATAGAACTGCCTTTATTTTAAATTCATATGAAAACAGCTTTGTCATTTTTTTTGCCCTCAAAAAAAAAGAAGATGATCTCACCAATTGTATTTTTCTAGTTTTATTTTATCATCTAAATCTATAATTTTTTTTTAGCTGCCATTTTTTAAAAAGTTGCAAAAACAAACATCACACCGGTTCAATGTACAGCCTACGGTCAAATCCTGGTCCGAGTTTTACTGGAACAAGCCGACTGAGTTTTTTTTTTTTCCTTGTTATATTTGTTCACCGTTCACATTATGCTCTGTATCCAGTCAAACTGGTAGAATTGGCATCCAGTCCCCTATACTGGTAGAATTGGCATCCAGTCCTAATATAATATTTCAATATCACTTTGTCTATCGTTAAAATATATATATATATCTATATATAGAGAGAGGGCATTACGATCGGTAAAAACTCCCCAGTCTTAAAACACAGCACCAGCGCATACGATGTCATCCTCCTTTACAGACAGACTGCGCTCGCGTCCATCGTAATCTCAATATATCTCTATATAAACACATATATATACGTATCCGATTAGTCTTTTTTTTCCAGCTCCTTACATTTCCGTTCAAACTTTCTAAATGACTTGATGCTCGACCTCCAACAATGAGACATCATTTATTATTTTTCAGATTGCATTGAATTATTGACAAAATATCTCCTGATAAAAGGCATTCGGTTCTGTTTTTTTTTTCTATGTTTTGCTGCCTGCCATTTTTGTGAAAGCTGTGGATGACCTTCAGCCAAGGTCATCCTATGTCTGCCATCACATGCATATGACCTTCCTTCTGTTGGTTGTAGTAGTTTTGTAGTCAGTCTTCATGGATTTACGATAATAAAAAAAAACATCAGGTGTAAATTGTAAGCAGTCATTGGGTAATAGAAACATAATTGTTGGAAATATGCGCATAATTAATTAGAATAAGTTCGAACGCAGTAATACAATATGCCATAGTAGTAGTAATAATAATAATAAGTAAAGACTATATATATTAATCGTAATAAAAACTTCGCAGGAAAATAAAAAGAAGCATTTGGAAGCTTTTGTAGCAAGATAGCTTTTGAAGCTGTAAAAAGTTTTGTCTTTTTTTTCTTATATTCTAAAAAGAATAACCTATAATAATCTTAATGACAAAATCCGACAAAAAAAAAGCTTGTAGCTAAAAAAAAAAAAAAAACATTAATAGCACTTTTATACATAGAAGGTTTAAAGTCATCTTAAAAAGCTGACAAAAGCAAACTGATAACACAATATAAGTTATTAATTAACTATAATTAATTAATTAATTATTTGGTACACAGCACATATGGGTTTGTTAAATCACATGGCACAATCAAATATAACATGACCCACAGGCACCTTGCTCCTCGGACACAGATGTCTCTCTTGGGCTTGCAAATTTTCAATAAACATTAACAAAACAATAATACAATAATAATTAAACCCCGCCCGGAAACGCCGCACGGGTGACGAATCATCAAAAAACAAATAATATACATTAACTTTTGATAAAAATGCACCAATCAAATCGCCAACGTTAAAATTATTTACCCAATAAGAGTCATGGCACCCAAAAAATTAGAAAAACTAGCACTAAAATTGTCAAAAACACTTTAAACATGACATCGATATCGATCGCAGACTTGAGGTCGTCTACATCATCAGAAAGTTAATAATAATATAATAATAATAATAATATTTAAAACAACCCTGGACACCAATAATTGGTGAAATGTACATTACTATTAGTAAAGGGGGGGTGGGGGGGAGGGGGGAAACAGTAACAATTTCTACTAATAATCGTAATATACTTGTTAGTGAGTTAGCTGATAATATTTTTTTTGTATCAATCACGTAAATATATATGTAAAAACCTATGATCGATATTAGGTCGGTCGGTCCATTAAGACTGCAATTTTCACTTCCAAAAAACTTGTACGCTGCGTCTCCAATAATATGCACCTTTCTTGATACTTTTCACTCTTCATACGAGTCCTTGCTTGCGTCGGCCGTACTATTTGCGGCAACAATTTCTGCATATATGAGTATTTTAAAAGTATTTTGCAAGTCTTTTTTTTTCCACAACAGTTCCATAATAAAATGAAATATTTAAAAAAAAAAAAAAAAAGAAAGTTATTTCAACAATTGGTTTAGACACAAGTCAACAATATTGAATAATGTGTTTTACGTTTTTTGTTTTAAAACTGAGCAAATTTTAATGATTAGAAGCAGTCGTGCTATTTGTGTCCGTGTCTGCTTCGTGTAGGAAGCGAGCTTGACGATTATCGACACACTTCCGCATGTGTTTCTCCAACGTGCTGGCCACCGAGAACGGCATTTGACAAAATTTACAGTTATACACATCCTTTCCCATTCGACCATGTGTGCGTTTGTGGCGAGTTAATTTACTCGACTGGGCACATGCATAATTACACAGTTCGCATTTATACGGTTTTTCGCCAGTGTGACTTCTGCGATGAACAGTCAGGTTGCTGCAATTCCGAAATATTTTGCCACAGTATTCACAAGTATCGTTGCGACAATTTTTCCTAGATATCGGTGACGGACCGTTGGAGGATGTGTTTGGTATGCTGGGCCCAGGTTTTGGCAAACCAACTGATTTCAAGGCACTATCTTGAGGTGCTGCCAAGCCAAAGCCATTAACGTGCGGCTCACGGCGAAAATCGTGATTCACTCCGAATGATGGAGCGAAACTAGGATAGAAGTCTCTGAGCGGACCGCCCGGAAACCAGAACCTAGAATATATTGTGGCGTCCATGCTATTATGGTGTGGTTCATTCGGCTCTCTCTTTACCGATTTATAATCTGGGCTACTATATAAGGTGTTGCCATGGTTTCCATGGTTCCCATGGTTACTATGAGGGAGTTGTGTGATAGGAGATCGATGTTCCTCTACTTTGATATTCTCTTTACTTCGACTTTCCACGGATCCCGTCGGAGATCGGTCCATCTTTTCAGCCTCCTTGTCCTTCTCCTTGTCCGAGGAGTCTTTGTTTTTATCTTGATGGTCTCGGTTCTCTTTCAACGCCTGTTGAAAGGCGTCGCTGTAAGTCTGAATATTATTGAGACCTGAATGAACCATCACCTCACTCAATAAACTGGTTTTCTCGGGAGTTCCTGTACTGGAACGAGATCGTGGAGTTTTCACATCCCTTTCATGGTCTCCGTTTAATTCCTGATCCCCTGGTTTGTTCTCGAACTTTTTAATCTCTGTATCGTGAGCTTCCCCATTTTTCATATTATATTTTAAGTCTAAGCTTATCTCTTCTTCCATTTCATTTTCATCCATCTCCTCCTCCATTTCCTCCTCTTCTTCATCAAGTTCATCTTCATCTTCTTCATCCTCATCATCGAATTCGTAGCCGGCTTCTCCCAGCTTATTCAAGATGATTCGGTTGTTGTCTGGGGTGCTGCTCGTGGACGCTACGCTACCATCGGAACAAGTCGAAGGGTTTGAGCCGTGCGATGTTGCGGACATGGGTGATTTATTGTTGAGGTGGGTCTTCATGTGCCTCTTCAGTTTACTCTGTTGCGTGCAGGCGTGAGGACAGAGCGGGCACTTAAAAGGCTTTTCCCCTGTGTGGGATCGTCGATGTACGATGAGGTTGCTAGGGAACCGAAAAGACTTGCCGCAAAATTCACAAGATTTTAGTCTCGGAGACAAATTTGATCCTGATTCGGAGGCAATTTCTTGGGAGCTAGAGACAGGGGGTTGGTGGTGGTGATGATGAGGAGGAGGGGGAGGAGGAGGGATGTTTTCTCGTGGTTCCCTGCATGTGTCCCTAAAATCTCTTGGATCCCTAGGAGCTGCCGATGGGGAGTAGGGAGGTCGGGGTGGTGTTTGATTCGGGCGTGGAGGAGATCCTGTAGTTGATGCTAATTGTTGTAGTCTTTTAGAATAAAAATCTTCAAGTGATATTGCCCTACTGCGATCGAAGGGGCTTGTGGTCGCAAAAGGGTTATGATGCATCATCATTCTGTGTCGAAGCTGAAACGGGTCCGGATTCACATCCAGGAAATCTAAACCGGGTGGACGGTTAAAAGGACTCAGAGCTCCGTGTGGATTTGGCCTCTCCATTGGCATTCGGAATGGAGGGAACATGTGTGGGGGATGAGGGAACGGGGATTCGGGTCCAGACGAAGGGGGAGTTCTGTGTTCCAGGTTGAGTCGTGGTGATGGTGTGGAGATCTCTGGAGAAGGGGTTGTGTAGATCTTCATACCGTGTTCTTTTTGAGCATGTTGTACCAGACTCCAGGCAGAATGAAATGGTGCTTTACAAGTATCGCATACTACCTTGGAAGGCTCTGAAAATACAAACAGAAGTAACTTATTAATATAAATACCTGAACTAGATATCATAACACACATAACAAAACCGAAACCACAAACCTGCGGTCGACAAGATAAACCACAAAGATATTGCAAGAAAAAAATAACAAACATCAAATCAATCAAGTGAATGGATGCGGGGGCCAGCTGTAAGCATCCACTAAACTATAGTCATGAGATAAAATGTCAAATAATTTTAACAATAAGGGCTATAATCCAGAGAGAGAGAGAGAGAGAGAGAGGGGGAGGGCGGGTTTAACCTCCACTTGGCACAAACTAGGTCATTTCGGGACTAACACATGGTTCAATTTTATTTCAATAATTCACTTGTGCGTAGGGGTCTTTAACAGTGAGAGGGAACTGGAGGACCCAGAGAAAATCCACAAGGTTGGACAGGCAATCTGCTCCTTGTCACCTTGAACCGGGGAATTGAAACCACGGCAGTTGCCTCATTAGGCTAACTATTAGGCCATCCAACCTCCCACTATAATCCAGATAGAATCTCGGAAACTAAAAATAAAATAATAATTGTAGTCAGCAGACTAAATACCAAACTGGAATTCAATTTGTGTGTCTGAAAAGCAAGGAGGGGTCCTCCGGTTTCCTCTTAACTATGTGCAAATTAGTTATTGAAAGCTAACGTTACGTGTGTAAAATATTACGCACACAGAATAATTTTTATAAATATTTTAATTACAAAAATATTTGTTTTTATTTGATTTCTAATATTCTGCAGGAAATGAAATTATATGAAGTATTATATCTTTACTCACATAACAAATAAAATGAAATGAAATGCGGTTTAACGTCCTACCGTTCTGCCCCAACTGGTCTAATGAAGACCGGCATACGCTATACAGTGTGCTATGAGGGAAATTTTGCCCGGACAGCGGCGCTACGGCCTGCTCTTATATCGAATTCAAACTGCCAGTTACCTTCACACCAATGTGATGGGGTTTAAGGTCTACTCAACACAAACTAGGTCATTTTGGGACAAACACATGGTTCAATTTTATTTAAATAATCTGCCTGGGTTGGAATAAAAAAAAGTAGGACGTTCGACTCCACTGTAATATTACCTATGTCATATTAAAATCAGTGTTCTAATTATTCCTAGGAATAATGTTACAATGTTGGAATTTGATCTGATAATGATCTTGTATAATAATGATGGTAAAAATTGTATGGAATAAATATGGTTTTTTGAACTGCATCATTCTAAACATTTTGTAAATTTCAATACATTAAATATCAGTGAAAAATAATACAATTTCACATATTCTAGTTCAAGGACATGAAATAAGAAAGAGAGAGAAAGAGAGGGAGAGAGAGAGAGGGAGAGAGAGAGAGAGAGAGAGTTTAAGCTCCATTGGACATACAAACATATGGTTTAATATTATTTCAATATACGCTTGGGCGTAGGGGTCTTTAACAGTGGGAGGAAACCGGAGGACCGATAGAAAACCCACGAGGTTGGACAGGCAACCCTACTCCTTGTCACTTACAAGCGAGGAAACCCAAACCATGCCACTTGACTCAAAGACAGGCCTTATGATACAACGTGTACACGCTTAACTTTACAATAGACCATAATAAGATAGCCTTGACATTTCTCAATGAAAGGAAATGAAATAAACAGGGTTCAGACCACAATATTGAATAAAACTACTTTAAATTCATAACTGGCACACTTTTTATTTTATTTTTTGTATGAAACCAAATTTTTTTCTAACACAAAGAAAGAGAAATGTGAAATATGGGCGCTCGTTATGTCAGAGATTAAGTGATGTATAGTAAAAATCAGACAACAGACAGATAGATTCTCACAGCCGGTCTGCCAGACACATATTTTCTGTGGGGTATCAGTGGTTTTCAACAAAAGAGATAAAGTCTGGAAATAGCCTGTCTGAGATTTTTGGTACCTTGTTTTTTTTCACTGTAAGTCAGCGATGCCATAACATGGACCGTTAATCAAGTACCACTTTAGCGGCAATCTTTAGAGCAAAATGGTGATAATTTACATTCCAACACTTAATCTACTTCAACTGTATTATCTACAGACCATTACGGGTGTTATATAAGAAATGAGGCAACGCTGAAAACTTTTTCCTTACAAATATTCAGAAAAAAAGAATTGATAAAATTAACATTTATTCTGCAGTCAAATGGGTTATTGACCCAAACATCATATGCTTACGGCTAGCCCCCGGATCCATTCACTTTTTTTGAATTGTCTGTATGTTTGTGTTTTCCTGAGTATGATGTCCTGTCCGTGTATTTGTTTTTTGTGTAAATTTTGTGTGGTGCAGTCCTTCTACACTTACTATTTGAGAGAGAGAGAGAGAGAGAGAGAGAGATGGAGTTTAACGCCCACTCAACGCAGACTAGGTCATTTCGGGACTAACATGGTTTAATTTTATTTCATTAATTCGCTTGCATGTAGTGGGGTCTTTAGCAGTGGGAGGAAACCGGAGAAAACCAACAAGGTTTGACAGGTGACCCTACTTCTTGTCACGTACAACTGGGAAAACGAAACCCCACCAGTTGACTCAATGACAGGCCTTATGATAAAGCGCGCACATGCTAACCATTCGGCTATCCAACCCCCCAGCTCATGCTGTCTTTGAATGCTGTTTCTATTATCTGCAGAAATGAAATAAAATGAAATGGGGTTTAACGTCTTACTGTTCTGCTCCGACTGGGCTAATGAAGATAAGAATATGCCATACAGTGTGCTATGAGGGAAATTTTGCCCGGGCAGCGTCACTATGGCCTGCTCTTATATCGATTTTTGTCCCATCTGAACGACAAGGCAGCTGTCCTTGACAGGCCCTTCGTCTTGCACCACTGACAAGCGAAAACCATGTCGGGAAATTCCGATGAACTTTCTTGGCCAATGCATATATAATCTACAGAGTACAGACCATTTATACCAATGAAGAATTGACAGAATTAAATTCAATCGCATGGGTCACTGTCCTAAACATTTTTTGATGCTGTTTCTATGTGTGTGTGAAATAGCTTTATTTAACATCCCCTTCCATCGTAGACAATTACATGTTATATATACATAGTGAAGTTATCTTACTACAGAAAATTTAGACCAACATAAAAGAAGCTGTGAGGCAACGCTGAAAACTTTTCGTAATATAAGACACTAGAAGAATGCCGGCTTCGCTCGGGGGGGTCATAACCTCAAAACCGGAAGTGGTAGACTAACGCCACCTGGCCTATGTTACTCCCCGGTCCGAGCTACCCCTATACCCCAAATTTCAGACTCGGGGCAGACCTAGTGTAGCCGCCAACCCCAAACAGACAGACAGACAGACAAACGACAGTCACAAATATTAGTACAGATTTCAGAATAGAACTTATAAAATTAAGGTTTAATCTACAATGACTGGGTCACTGACCCAAACAGTTTCAATACTATCTTCAAATACTGAAAAAACCCTAGTAAGAATATTTCAGAAAAATAATCCCAATTTTAATAAATCGATAATAATGTGGTCCCATAGGTCACTGTATTGTTTTAATGTATTTCTGTTTTACAACGACAAATGCTTTCTTTGTTTTTTTTAAAACAATTTCCATTTTGTTTTAATAATATGTATGCTGCTCTTAATGGGTGTATTGATAAAATAAAACCTTATTTTATATATCACTGGTCAATTTGATATTAAAATCGTTAATTTAGGGATGGTCTGCTGTCCATCAATAACATCTAACGAGATTACACGATTAACTTGTTTTTTCTAGCAGAAAATGTGGGTTACGAGGTCCTGAGAATGTCCTTGAAACTGTCCAATAACCTCTCTTAATATTTGATATATCTAATACGAGTTACGCACAGAAATCAACTTCTAGTTTCATATATACATACAAAGAATGACCCAAATAATTCTCTACGATATAAGTAGTTAAATTTATTCAGTTGAATAGCCTTTAGCGTCTATTAAACCACAAGATGTATAGAAGCCAATAATTTGGACAGGTCACCTTTACAATTGCTTCGGGTCAGTTGGTTACACTCTAACAACCTCGCTAAGTCACCCAGAAAAAAACACAACCCACCAAATATCTACTTAAAGAAAAAAGGTTTTATATAATGATGGGAACATAGGCGAATAAACTAACTGATTTTGAGGGTAGAAGGGGCCTCAGGTTTAGAAGAGCACTAACTGAATTTGGGGGTGGAGGGTGCCTGAATTTCTTTATTTTTACCCGAATATATCATCAGGCAATCATTTACTCAAATTTACCAGAAAGTGACTTTCACCATTTTTTTTCGAAGGATATGAATAAGAGTCTCAAAGAAGACTCTTGTTTTAATTTGAGAGAGAGAGAGAGAGAGAGTCCAGGTCATTTCGGGACTAACATACGGTTCAATTTTTATTTCAATAATATGCTTGTGTGCAGGGGTCTTTAGCAGTTAGGAGAAAACCGGAAAACCTGAAAAGCACTGCGGTCATGAATCTGAAATCTAGAGATGAGATCACATGACCTGACATGTGCGGCCGATTTTATTTGCATGGAACAGTTAGCTGGCGTAAAAAAAAACAAAAACATGCATGACTTAACAGAAAATAAATAATTAATAGTAATGCTAGTTTACTCCTATTACAAATGGATTAAATTTTTTTTAAAACTGAAATTCAAAACCTTAATTGATACTGGATGATTGTGATCAGGGATTAGACCCCTAATTATATGATGTGGGAAACGGAGCTAAAGGAAAAATAAAGAGAACCAAAACCCATGATTTGGACTAAGGTCACCTTAAATCAACCCCTTCAGGTCAGTTGGTCTCGCTCTGACAGCTTCTCTGGTCACCCGTGAAAAACAAATATCTCCCTAAACTATTCAGCAGTGTTGATTTATTGTTGTGGTTTAAGCGGTAACATAAAACTAATAGTCAGTTTGGGGAGGACTTATCCTAAAATGACCTAACTATCTGTCATTTTAAAGCCCCCTC